TCTTATCAGATTTATGAGACTCTACTGATTTTGATTGCATGTCAGGTGAATCAGTTTCAGACTGTACCCTTACAGATCTGGATATCAACTCGGTTTTATTATTACGGGAGTTTTCTGTATTAACCCCTTCAAGCTGTACTATTACAGGCCTGGATTTCAAGAAATTAGTCTCATCTACAATCACATCTCTAACTATGGCAAATTTATTACCTTCCACGTCCCACACTTTATACCCATTCGATTCATATCCGACTAGAATACCTTTCCAAGACTTTTCATCGAATTTAGTTTGTCTTGTTTTATTGTGTATATAGACAGTCGAACCAAAAATCTTTAAATACTTTAATTGAGGCTTTTTATTATGCCACAACTCATATGGTGTTTTTGACTCTTTTAAAGCCTTAGTCGGGGTTAAATTTATCAGATACGTAGCAGTAAGGACGGCTTCACCCCAAAAAACCTTTTCTAAATTGGCCCCGGCTACCATTGCACGAGCCCTTTCGGTTATTGTCCTTACCATACGTTCCGATACACCATTTAACTGTGGAGTTCGAGGAACCGTTAGGTGGTAACTAATACCTTTTTCTACACAATATCCCTTCATCTCGTTTGACAAATACTCTCTCCCGTTGTCACAATATAAATTGACAATTTTTAAATTAAAATGGGCTTCACTCTTTGCTACATAATCTCGAAAGACTGAAAATACATCTGATTTATGTGTGATCAGGTACGTAACACAATAGTGAGTGAATTCGTCTACAAATAGAACAAAGTAATTTTTGTCATTAATTGTCGAAGGAGTGATTGGACCACAGACATCTGAATGTATTATAAACAATGGTCGTTTTACATGACTTTTGTCTTTTGCATTTCTGAACGGTAATCGTGCTTGTTTTCCCTTTATACAAGCTTCGCATAATCTATCATGGACTTTAACCTTTTTTAATTGGCCCATGTCTACAAACATTTCTTTATTCTTTAACTCTAAGAATTTATTTTTCCCGATGATGCCATAATTCGTAATTATTTCTGTTACTGGTTTCATTTAATACTACCATGGAATTTACTGTATTTGAACAAACTTTAAATTCAACACCAGTTAAATTGTTCAGTGGCTTACCTGACACGATGATCTTACCACTTTTGCTTATTTTTACGCCTTCTTCGTCAAAAGTTACCGTCATACCGGCCTGCTGAATACGTCGTACCGACAATAAATTGTACGGTACATCTGGGCAGTAATAGACCTCGTCGATGGTACCTGGGATGCCCATATTCGTGGTGATGTTCAGCGAGCCCCTTTTTGTCGCTGCAAGCGTAAATTTCGCTACAAGCGTAACAACGAATATTCGATTAAAGTATATTTAATAAGTAAAGATTATAATAAATGATGACTGTATTTAGACACCGAATGCTATTGTAATTTTCACAACGTCCGTGCCAGCGCAATTCGTATTGCTGATCGATGCCTTGCGAACAAAATGATTATGAAAAAGCCAATTGTTAATTAGGAAATCCGTGATTGCTGGTTCATTACTCAAGCATAATAGTACAACATTATAATTCATATTCATAATTATTTACATATTTATAGTTCAATAGTTCAGATTTAAACTATAGTTGATAATCGTATCATTTCAGAAATTCCACGGCGTAGAAACACCGAAAAGCCGTTAGACAGAGATGGAACACCAGAAGAGAGAGATAATTCTAGTCGAATTTAGCTAGCACGCGCCCTTGGCCAATAGCGGTACACGCGATGCTGTCGTCACACGCTATGATTTATCGAGATGTCCCCACGCAGGACATCGTCCTCGCGACGGGCCCTTCCGACTAGGATCGCGATCGATTCTGATCACTCTTCGTCGAACAATCGAGTAAGTCGTGACGGGAGCCCGTGCGTCTAGAGATAGAGTTGCTGATTGTACTTCGTGAAATTTAGCTGCGCGGCAAGTCCTAATCGTAGGCAGAGTGTCGCGAGGGTGAAATTCCGGATACGCGGCAAAGACTCAGAGACGCGCACGTTAAATCATTTTCATACTATCAAACCTCTATCTTTTCTCTTTCTTTTAAATCGTTTGATCGCGTAATTTTCGTATTAAATTCACCGCGTTGTTATTATTTAATTATTCAATTTTTCAAATATTGTAATCATCTTTGTGAACGTCTTAGTAATCGCAGTACAAACGGCCAAGCGCGCGCGACAAGTGCAAGTGCGACAACATTCCTATCATCTCTCTTAGTGTTCCAGATCTCACAGCGATATTTAACGATCTCACAGCGAATTTTCAAAGCAATTTTTATCGTATATTATATTCACCACTCTCACGGTAAGCCTGTTCTGTACTAATTTGTCGAGCACGGCATTATAATTGATTTTCAACAAGGCAAAACGGGCGATCTATTAAACGGGCGGGTTATAAGAGCCTCTTCATTTTAGATCGTCTTGTTTTTCACGTTAAGGTACCGAATTATATATATTTATGCTTATTTTCGTATTTTCAACTATCGCGATTTTGTGTGTGACGATTGTTTCAATTTCAACATCTTATCAGGGACAACCTGTAAAGCCCTCTCGGGGGTTCTAAGAGCCTCTTCATTCAGGTCGTTTCCTTGCGGATAGACACCGCCAAGTTTTCATTGTTTCCTATTTAATCGGGGCAGTCGTCTAACGTTAAAATTTCTGATTAAAATCCGTTCAAATTATATTGGAAAGCCACATTGTAAATCAAAGGCAAATCAAAGGCAAATTCAATCACATTTATAAAAAAAAAATAGATTAAGCATCTTTACCCTTGTTAAACATAATTGTTCTAGTCTGAAATAGTATTCATCAGTATTAACAGAATTTATCAGTATTGAATTAATAGTCATTTGGAATTCAGTTTGTATTAGCTTCAATATTTACTTTCTTTTGCACACTAATCAGTTTCATAATTTCTTTCGACTACCGTACCAAAAATCATTTTACATTTCAAATCCACGTACGCCAACATAGAGTTCCAAGGAGGGACCCGTATGGGACTCAGAACACTGACGAACCCAACGGAGATAAACTAACTTCTAAATTTCCGACTTTTAATTTGTTCTTACCGTAGAGGACGCTAACGAGTCATACGCGGTCAGAACTAGTGGCAGTGATACCTTTCTCATCGCCCAGAATTAAAGAAAGATTTTTTTTCTTTTACGTTGCGCGCTCGCCTCGCGTCGTGCAACGTAACAATATTATTATTTATTATTATTATTGTTAGATGAGGCTAGCCGGGCACTCAGTCCTTGGGGACCATTGTACCCGGGCCACTAGGCAGCATCCTTACTGGCTGTGCCTAGGCAGCTGGGCTTCTGTTGCAAATTTTAGAAGCACCGGCACCAGGCCAGCCGAAATGCTTAATGATGAGGGTTCCAAGATCCCCAGGATTGATCCTCTTAGGGCCCTTAGTTCCCTGCATCTTAGAAGTGCGTGGAGAGGTGTTTCGTCCTCCGCCCCACACCCCGGGCATGTCGACTCCACTGAGAGTCTCATGCGTGCGAGGTGTTTCTTCGTGTACCAGTGTCCTGTCACTAGGCCCACGAGCATGGGCAGTTGCGCCCTGTCCAGGTGAATTAATGTGTCACCCAGCTTCTGAGACGGTCCCTCAAGTAGGGCCCTCGTGTGTCTCATACCGCTAGCGTTTTGCCAGAGCCTGGTGAATTCCTGGTTCAGTCATTCTTTAGCCAGGCCCTTTAACGCATAGGTTGAGACACCAATAGGGTGCTCCTGGTATGGCTGAGAGCTTGTCGCCCCCAGTCGCGCCAGTTCATTCGCCCTTTCGTTATCTAAGTTACCAGTGACCTGGTACCCATATCAGCTTGACTCTGTTATTTAGAGATAGCTGTCTCAGAGTCAGTGCGCAGTCCCTGACTAGCTTAGACCCGACCTCCACTCTGTGGAGGGCTCTAAGCGCAGCAATGCTGTCACTGCAGATGTAGATGTGTTTGCCCGAATGGACCCTTTCCAAATTGTATTTGGCGCAGGCCCAGATGGCAAACACTTCTGCTTGGAAGACCGTAACGTGGTGGCCCAGTTTGTAGGTCATTTCGACCTTTGGGCTCTCCCCCGCTACCCCGGCTCCGGTGCCAGATCCGGTCTTGGAGCCGTCTGTGAACCAGACCAGCCCCCTCGGAGTCAGGATGCCGCTAGGGTCCCCCAGCCATTTCTCCCTATCTGGGATGATTAAATCATATTCCCGTCTGAAGAGGTACTCCGTCTTGCAGCGATCTCCACCGTGGGTCAGAATTAGCTTCGATCCCCGATCTCTTAGGATCTCGATGTGCCCACCGCTCGCCGGGTACCATTCTTCAGCTTGATGCAGGCGGATGGCTGCTCTCCAAGCCGTTGCCATCACTGCTAGATGGGGTGGCTTGATATCGAGCAGCGCACCTATTGCCATAGTGGGCGTGGTGGGGAGCGCACCTGTTATCCCCAGCAACGCTATTCGGTATATTCTTTCTATTGTCCTTCTGTGTGCTCCCCTCTTCATAGAGGTCCACCACACAATCGAGGCGTATGTTATAATAGGTTCAAGGATGGCCTGGTATATCCACCTGACCATCCTTGGTTTGAGTCCCCATGTGGGGCCAAACAGTCTGCGGCAGGCCCAGTAGGTGCTAATTGCTTTCTGGGTCTGCTTGTTCACGTGGTTCTTCCAGTACTTCCAGTGAGTTTTTTATCTAGTATCACACCAAGATATTTTACCTCATTTGTGAGTTGTAGTTGCGTCCCAAAAAGATGAGGAGCTTTAAAATAGAAGTGTCTTCTCTTTGTGAATAGGACCAACTCCGTTTTGCTCGGGTTTACCGAGAGCGAGTGTGATCGACACCAGGATTCCACAAGTGTGATAGCCTTTTGCAACCTCCTCGCTAAATCCAGCGGGTGTCTGCCTCTGACCGTGATCGTAAGGTCGTCGGCGTAACCCTGAACCGCAAAGCCTTCTGTGGTGAGTATGCATATGAGTTCGTCAACCACGAAGGTCCACAGCAGGGGGGATAGGACTCGGGCAGCCCCTCGCGACGTCGGCCCTCACCGTCTCCTCTCCCAGGCTTGCTGTGACTGTTCTGTTCGTCAGCATATTGTGGATCCATCTTACGACGGAGTCCTTAATATTGTATCTTATCGCTGCTTCCTGTATAGCATCGTGAGGGGTGTTGCCAAACGCCCCCTCGATGTCGAGGAAGATGCAGAGAGCAGATTCACCGTTCGACAGTGCACCTTCGATAGAACCTACCAGGTTGTGAAGTGCCGTCGCGGTGGATTTGCCGTTTTGGTAGGCGTGTTGAGAGGGGTGCAGCGGTTTGCTGGCCAAAACCTCGTCTCTGATGTACCTGTCAACCAGCCTTTCCAGCGTTTTAAGCAAGAAAGAGGTGAGGCTGATGGGTCTGTACGACTTGGCAAGGTCATAGTTGTCCTTCCCTGGTTTCGGGATGAACACTACCTTGGAGTACCTCCAGGCTTTGGGTACATAGCCCTTCGCTAGGCAGGATTTGAAGATCTGGCCCAGGCGCCTGTACAGGTCCTCCCCGCCCTCTTGAAGGAGTGCTGGTGTTTAGTATCGGAGTAAGAGAGAGCCGGCGATCTCTAAATCCAACTGTCGCCCCGTGTTGACGTTGAGTCGTGCGCTCTCTTTCCAGCATGCATGATTATCACCGGAAACTCTTTCTCTCGGCATTCTGGAAAGATCGAGAGACACCGCGACGCCGTTAATTCTAATCGAATTAGCTAAGCCGCTTATTGGGTATTGTTGACGATCGGAACAAGTGGTGAAAGCTAATTGGCTCATGACGTCACAATATCTGTAACGGCTTAGCCGAATTCTGGAGCTCGCTGAGCCCTCGCGATTATTACCTACTCAACCGTATACCCAATAGAACTACCTGAACTACCAAAGACCGCGTCCTTACACCGTCGCTTTATCAGCGTTTCATCGCGTCGGTATCTCGTGTTCCCGTTCAGTTTCGTCCATCTATTATAGTGTGTGTTAACCGTTCGTGTGCGTATCGTGTGTGATCGTGATTGCTCGTGTGTGGTGTGCGTCCCGGTGTGTTCATGTACAATAAACGTTCAAAAACTGAAACCTGTGGTACAGTCACTCTCGAACCTTACACTCATCTCCCGGCTATTGAACAGCTGGGTAGATCCCGTCAGTGCCTGAGCTCTTGAATCTTCTGAAGGAGCCGATGGCCCACCTCACCCTGTCCGTGTTTATCACCTTCTCAGCTATTCCCCAGTCCGCAGGAGCAGGGTCGGTGCGCGTGGTATCGCTACGGCGCCGCTCCCGATCCCCTGCCACTGAGCCTGGGAAATGTGTTCGAATAAGGTGTTCTAGTGTTTCTCTGTGGTTGTTCGTCAGACTTCCGTTAGGGCGTCTACGACGATCCAACCTCGGTGAGGGGCCTATCGTGAAGACCTTCCTTAACCTGGCAACTCGGTTTCTTTGCAGAAGATCTTCCAGCCCGTCCTCTTGCTGGTTCTTATTAATTTTTTGTAAGCTTGCTGGGACATTTTGTAGTTGTCCCAAGCTGGCTGCGTATTTGCCTTCGTGGCTTTATTCAGTAGTTTGCGGGTATCCTTCCTGGCTTGGTCCAATTTCTTGTTCCACCAGGGGAACCTTTTGCTACTGTTCCTGATTCTGGCCGGGCAGGCAACCTCATAGGCTTGAGTAATGGCGGAGCTCAGATGCTCCATCGCTTGCTCAATTTCGCCTATGGTCCTGGGACGCTGACAGTTCCCCTTCAGCTTCCCTTCCAGGCCCTCTTTATAGAGTGCCCAGTTAGTGGCTTTTGGGTTCCTGTAAGCCTCGCCAGTGCCGCCCTCCCTGTCGCCTGTTAATTCAAAAGTGATAAGGCGGTGGTGTGAGTGTGCTCTCGTCCCGTACCTGCCAGTGTTTAATGACCTGTGTCACCTTGGCGGAGCCCAGGGTCAGATCAATCACCTCCTGTGTGCGGTAGGTAACAAAGGTGGGAGAGGAGCCTATGTTAAGGATCTCCAAGCCCGTGGTGGCGAGGTACTCCAGCAATGCTGTGCCTCTACCGTTGATATTTGTACTGCCCCATACGGTGTGGTGCGAGTTGGCGTCGCAACCGATCACCAGGTGCAGACCATTGACAGCACAGTGATCTATCAGAGCCCTGAGTTCCCTCGTAGGTGGAGGTTCCTTGGAGTCGTACGGCAGGTACGCCGAGCATATCACCAGCTCTGACGTGTTCCCACCGCGGTTAAGTTTAACCTTAATCGCTGAAAGATCAGCTGCACAGAATTCATTAAGTTTCATACAGGCTCTGGGCCTTGTGGATGTGGCATCATAGTAGAGTGAGCCGCACCCCGTGTTTAGCCCTCCTACACGTTCCTTGTGGATCCAAGGTTCTTGTATGAGGGCTATATCTGTCTGCCCCATCGTTAGGCGGCACAGGAGAATGTCCGTTGCCGCCTTGCAATGTTGCAAGTTGATCTGCGAGAACCTGGTACCATCTGGCACCTTGTTGGTGTCAGATGTGGTCCGGTCTCGCTTGGTCGAAGTAGGTGTGTTATGTTCCCCGCCGGGGCCCGTTACACCTACTTATGAGAGGGACCCTTACTGTGGCCCATCCCTCTCCTTCCCCTGGTACCGGCCTTCAGCGTGTGTATCAGGGTACGTTGATTCCCCTTCTGCACACCCAGAAGCCCGGTCCGTTTCGTCGCCTCCGCCGTGGTCGGCCTTCCCCTTGACATTTATGCCTTGGGGATGCTCCCACTGAACGGAGGGTGTGTTCCGGCGGCCTTCGGTCCTTGGGAGGATCCGGCAGCCGCCATCCCTGTGTTACAGCCCTTGGGTGGGAGGGTGTCGGCGCAGGGGGCGAGGGTCTCCGAGGGCGCCGTTACCAGCGCCCTGCGCTCCCCTTCTTCCTTGTCCACACCGCTCACCCTCGCCTTCCCTTCCTCCATCAGCGGGGCTGTTGGTCCCGGTTTATTCCCGGCGACCGTGTCAGGGTTCTTCGTGTCCTCCGTGGTCCCGGCAGGTCCCTCTCTAAAGAGTGCCCTGCGCAGTCCCCGGTGGACCTCAGAACCCTGCCTCTTGATGAGGCTGTGTGATGCAGGGTCAACCCCCTGGACGAGAGTTACCGAATTCGGTCCCTCTCTCCTGCTCCACACTCTCCACAGGTTAGTGCGGAGCCCCGGGTTCTGACCCTCCATCATTCTTAATATGGCCTCCGTCGCCACCGGAGGGCCGGGGATAACCGTGACCATCCTATTGAGCTTTGGGAGGCGCCGGCCATCCAACACCTGGAGGTCCGCCCCCTCCTAAGGCTTGATTGTGGTGGCAGTGGCCCTCAGCCATTCCAACGCTCCGGTGTCCGCGCAGGTCACTAGTAGCAGGCCCACTCTGAAGCGGCACTCGTCGAAGCGCGGCATGGTCTCCCCTTTTTGGAGCCCACACAACGCTCCCACAATTGCCTGCTCGATGGTGGAAGCCGGCGCCTCAGTGAGGGTCGACTCCGGGTAGTTGGCCGGCGCGATTGCCAGCCTCCTCTCCGCCGTCAGCGCCTCACTGAAGCTTTTTGGCGAAGAAAAGACCCTTTGCCTTTTCTTCGCGCAAGGCTGAGTGTTTGGGGAGACGGATGGTCGGGTCCTTTTGAGCCTCTTACCATCCGCCCCCTTGCCGCCCACCTACGACGTCTCTGCGCGGGGTTTCCCGATAACCGGGCCTCCCCTCGCAGCGGCCGTCGCAGGGGCTATTCCAGCCTTGCTCGTGGTCTCAGCGGTGGCAGTCCGGTCAGAAGTCCCTGGCAGCGCTGGGCGCGCCCTGCGGGCCGTCTTCCGGGCTGCTCCGCTGAGCTTTACCTTCTTCTGTGCTTCCGAGTTCGGTTCCGGGGTTTCTCCCTGGTCGGCCCCGATCGCGCCGGAGGAAGGCTCCTCATTGAGGGTAAGCATGTCCAGAGCCGGTAAGGTTGTAATCTCGCCTGCCGCGAACATGCTCACCCCAGAACCGCCCGTCAGCGGTGTTTCGGAGGCGGTCCCCAAGATTGGGTCCCTTCCCTCCTCAACCAGCCCGCTTCCGAGTGGGTTCGTGTTGGTGTTTGTTGTTATGTTCGTGTCCGTGTTCGTGTGCGTGTTTGTGTCCATGTTTGTCTGAGTGTTGTTATTTTTAAAGTTTTTGTTTTTGTCCATGTATGTCCCATGAGTAGTCGGGAAGTATGGGTCCACCCCTGCAGAGCCCGCTTGCAGGGGTAAGGCTAGATACAATGGGGGGACGCCTGGTACCCCAAGAGCATCGTTCGTGACACCATTACCCCGGTGCCATCCAGCTCTCGGCACGATTGCTTACACCTTAGCTTGGGGAGCTGGTCCGCGACGAGGCTTTAGTTCCCCTCCGAGGGTTTTTAGGCCTTCAGGGGTCCCTTATAGCACCCGTTGGCCGGGGCACTCCGTAGGCACACCTTCTCCGTATCCTGGTCGCCAGAAGCGTCCCGTACTACGGTACTCGGGGCCCACTTCACGCACCCGGTCGTCCTCCTATCCGCCGCCCAGAGACGCGCGCAGTTGAGGCTCAGCCTGGATCGACCAGAGGTCGTCCTGGTTTCCCGCGCCCCTTTCAGGGGTTGGGGCACTCCGAGAACGTAACAATATAATAATATATAAATATTTTTAAAAATTAAGTAAAAAACAGTTTGTTTAAAAAAAATTAAAAATTAAAAAAATATTGAATCAAAATTAATGAGGAATAGGGGAAAATGTTATAATTTGTTGTAGTCATAAGTTTAATAATAATAATAATGATAATAATAATACTAATAATAATAATAATAAAAATAATGATGATAATAATAAAAATAATAATAACAACAATGATAATAATAATAGTAGTAGTAGTAGCAGTAATAGTTCCTGAAATCAAACAAATTATAGTTTTGTATTATCTTCGTCATTATCACATGTTATATATACATTATCATCGTACTCACTTTTTACGGATGCCGCCCGCAAATGCAGCCACTAGGCCCCAAAACTACGTACACCGTACCGCGGGCTGCACCGCAGTTGAGCGCGTTCAGCCCACCCGGGCCACCAGTACGGTCGCGTCGGTCGCGACCGCGATTTAGATTGGCCTGCCACCGCAGCTGGCGGCATTCTCTGACCCGCTGCCGCTCCAGCTGCCGCTGTTCCATTGATATGTATGTCTGGAAAAATAAATATTATGTTATTATATATAAACAATGAATAACAGAAATAACGTGCAAACAGGAACGTAAAAAAAGACTTACAGTATATTCTGTTTATTGCTGTTGTGCCGGCGGCTGGTGCGGCTACGGTTGTTGGTGTGCCAACTGGTGCTGCTGGAAAAATAAACATTATGTTATTATATATAAAGAATGAAGTGCAGAAATAACGTGCAAAGGAGGAAAGTAAAGAAACGACTTACGATATACCCAGCATGTTGCAGCATGTGCATAAAATTCTTTATTTGCTGCATGTCTTGCTGCAGCTGCGGCTGGGGTTGCGGCTGCTGGTGCGGCTGTGGTTGCGGCTGCTGGTGTGGCTGTGGTTGCGGCTGCTGGTGCGGCTGCGGCTGGGCCTGGGGTTGTCGCTGCGGCTGCGCCTTTGGTTGCGGCTGCGCCTCCGCCCCCAATGATTTTGCTTTTTTGTTTTCTAAAAAAATATTGAAAAACATTGATAATACACCGGAAGACAAAAATTGTCTCTGCACAAGTTATCGCATAAAATTAAAACAGAATATGTACCTCAAATTGGACTAAATGGCTTGATTAATTTATAAAGATATGTACTTTTGTCGTTTTAAAAAATTACAATTTTTCGAAATCGAGAAAAAAATAGTAAAAGTGTAGACGCGTGTCCGCGAGACAATGAAACAGACGACTATTCCAACGGTTTCTGTAACAATTGCTGCAGAAACCGTTGGAATAGTCGTCTGTTACATTGTCTCGCGGACACGCGTTTACAAAAGGCAATTTTAACTTTTTTATTTGAGCCTGTAATGAAAATGTAAAATATGACATTTCTAAATTTAAGTTGTTATTCTGTTTGAAACGGTGAGCGAATAATTTTGTGACCTACTCTATATGAGAAAAAGGAAATGTTGAAAAAAATATTTCTGTAGCAAATGCTCGCGAAGTAAAGATGAAAAGATGAAAAAACACTTACTGCGATTTCGTAGATCTATATTTCCGTTATATTTCTTTCACACCTCACGACCTCACTCGTTCGTAGCACGTGTGGAACTGTTGCTGCCAGTGAAATTTGAAAACGCCACAGCGTTGGCGTTTCGTTTTTGTTTCACATGTATGTAGCGCGTTGCCACGGCCCGCGTTGTCATCTAGTTCTTTCTAACAATAAGACGTCTTCGCGGTAACGTGGAAGACATATTACTGAGAACATTTCCAAGCATTTGTGAACAAATTAAACATAAATGGGAAATAAAAGAAATAATAGTTGTCACAGGTTTCCGGGAAGTAAGAGGCTTTCCTTCAAAAGTAGTTATAGAAAACTGTAAGTGTTTTAGATTTATACATTTTAATAATTTGTATGAATTATCCTACAAATATTTCTAACTTTATGCGTTTTACCTTGCAGGCGACAGAAACAACAGCAATCGTCGACGACGATTCAAGCTGCTGCAGTTTTCGAAGAGAGATCTTCTGTCCCAGTGAAATCTGTAGCAAAACATGTAAAGGAGGATAGTCAGACAAATATGTCTGACTATCTACTAATTTGTAAATGTTATAATAAAGATCCGTTATTTTCCCCAAATAATCCTAAAGATGTAGGGCGCATCACAGATCACGTCCTTCGCGAAAATACAGATGTAGGGCGCATCTCAGATAACGTCCTTCGCGAAAATACAGATGTAGGGCGCATCTCAGATCAGGTTCTTCGCGAAAATGCAGATGTAGGGCGCATTTCAGAACACTTCCTTCGCAAAAACGATGAAACTGTCGTTGTACAATGCGAATCTACAAGTGTAAGACCCACTGTGCAAAACGTCCTGGATGATACCGACGACAATCTCGTCGTAAACGTCGGACACGTAGATATAGGACGTATTTCGGAAAATGTGCCAGATGGCCGCCGTATTGTTGACGTTCAGTTCTTCTGGAATGAAATACATAGAACGTTCGACAATCATGCGCGAGGTATTGAATGCCATTTTCGTGATTGGAAAATGATCGGTAGTCGCCAGCGTGGGTGTCTTACACAATTCTGCTTCAAGTGCCAAATGTGCAATTACGAAGCTACTGTTTGGTCGAAACCTATGCATTCAGATATAATGAATGTAAATGAGGCCATGACGACCGCGACTGTTACAGTCGGAATCGGCTGTGCACAATTAGAAGAATTATGCGCCGTCCTGAACATGCCCTGCCTGGCTGAAACGACGTACCTGAGGTACCGTGAAAAACTTGTAGATGAGTTTATGAAAAGCGCAATGCATACCATGCAGGCAGTAGGTGAAGAAGAAAGACGATTAGCTTTTGAAAACAATGAAGTCGTCGAAGGTATTCCATACATAACTGTCATAGCGGATGGTAGCTGGATGAAGAGATCGTATGGTACGAATTATAATTCACTTTCCCGTGTTGGTGCCATTGTAGGTTTCCGCACAGGAAAAGTTCTGTTTATCGGCATACGCAATAAATACTGCACAATATGTGATATAGCGGAACGACAAGCTACATCCCCAAAACATCATAAATGTTATAAAAACTATGATCGTTATGCTAGTTCTAGTAGCATGGAAAGTGATGCTATTGCTGATGGTTTCAAATGCAGCATTGAAATGCATGGCTTGATATATAGAACGGTTGTTGCCGATGGTGATAGTAACGTCTATCATACTATTGTGAATAACAGACCTTACCGAGAGCAAAAAGTACCCGTAAGAAAAATTGAGTGTACCAATCACTTACTTCGTAATTTATGTAAAAAGTTGAGACACGTTGCGGAGAAAACGCAAACGAAGGGTCACAGAGATCGTGGCTTTGTTGTGCACCGAAATATCGTTAAAAAAAATATTTTAAATATTCGTAGAGCTGTTGTTTTAGCAGCCAATGCGCAAAAACCAGAAAAAGGGCCTCAGCATATCAAAGCTAGAGAACTTCAGAAGGACATTTTAAGTATTCCTAGCCATATATTTGGTGAGCACAAAGAGTGCAATAGCCGCAGCCATAAGTGTATGCGGGACGAAAACAGAGCTGAGAAAAATTACGTTCCATCTTTGAAATTATACGGTCTGTATAGCGAAGTCGAGAAAGCCATACGATTCCTCAGTTGTTATTCGGATAGTTTATTAATGAATGTGACAAACAATCCCGCAGAAACATTTAATTCAATTATCTGCAAAGAGATTGGTGGAAAACGTATTAATTTTGGTGCAAGAGGTTCCTACAATGCTAGAGTTGCAGGAGCTGTTACGCAATACAATACGCAACAAGTACTTACACAAATGCATAAGAGCATGTGTAAAACCGTTCCACCACTAGTACAGAGATTGGAAAAACGGCGGCAGAAAAAAGTTGCGAAAACGAAAGAATTTCGAATGACCTATGGCAAGAGAAGGAAATTTAAGCCAATACAAGGAACGGATAAATATTATGGTCCAAACTTGGCAAAGACCAGATCTTCCGAGTGATATGCTGTTTCAACTTCGCAAGGAACATTTTGAAAAGCTTGCTGACAATGCAAAAAATCGTACAATCGTACAGATTTATGGAAGGCTTTAAAGGAGAAAATGCTAACTGCTTCGAATTTTGGAGCAGTGTGTCGCATGAGACAAACAACATCCTGCGCAGCAATGGTAAAAAACATTTTATATCCTCCATCTGTCGATACTGCTGCTATGAAATATGGCCGCGATAAAAAACACATTGCAAGAAAAGACGTAGCGAACGCCATGAAAACAAGGATTCGAACTTGTGGATTGTTCATTGATCGCGACATTCCATACTTGGGTGCCTCTCCTAATGGACATATCGACGATGACGGTTTACTGGAATTGAAATGCCCACTATCTGCCGAGAATTTGACAGCGATGGACGCAATAAAAACAATACGTCACTTACGAAACATCTTCGATTAGGGAGATATACAAGAAATGAATAGCAAACACCAGTATTTCTACCAAGTACAAGGTCAGTTGCATATAACGCAACGGAAGTTCTGTATTTTCGCTATCTGGACACCTACAAGCATACATATGATCCGCGTAAATAGGGATGACGCGTTTTGGACAAATCATATGGAACCTTTCCTAATGCGTTTCTACGAAGAATGCATGCTTCCCGCAATATTGGACAACCGCCACAATAGACACATGCCTATTAGAAATCCAGAATACATACTACGGGCAAAAGAAGATGTATCCATTCAAACATCTAACAGAAAAATCGCAAAAAAGCGTACATATGAAAACATGACACAGAACAGTGTTGAAGGATTAAATATGACCGTTGAAGCAGTAACTAGGGAGTTTGTCATTGTCAGTCATTCAGACCAAGAAGAAAACATCATAGATGATGATGTAGGATACTATACATATATTGGAGACTACTGTTTGTTCTGTAACTGACCTACAGAAAAATGTACTACCTGTTCTAAGTAAATTAAACGATGAATCGTTAGATCGATTTTTGCGTGTCGTCAGAGAAACTACTCCTTTTGAAACGCAAAGTGTCCTATACTTACAGTTTATAAAATTTATCAATCCATGCTGTACTGACAAGCGTGCAAATAATTGGAGGCAACTGTTCTGACCGCAAACTCCATGTATACGACAGTTTACCTGGCAGTGCATACGACAAGCTCGTAGAGGAAGAAAAAGAATGTATTGCGTTACGATTTCCTCATGTTCGCAAATAGGATATACTTTTCGAAAGAGTTCAGGCGCAACCGGATTGTTACAGTTGTGGTGTATACGCGACGGCATACATGACTACCATATTTTTGGGTGGAAATCCTTGTTCAGAAAACTATTCCCATGATGTACAACGCCTGAGACGTCACTTTGTGAATATTATTGAAAATAATATACTATTGCCCTTCCCGACAGAATAAGAGAATAGTAATATATTATGCAGTGTTGGAGCATAGGCTTATTAGTGAGGTCGTCAAGGCAATTAGTCCGACAATGCGTTAGTAAAAGTTTCATTGAGTAAAAGTCAAAAATAAAAAAGCATCAGTCACACCGATACGTTTCGGCTCCTAGCTTTGAATTCTTGGACCTCTCGCTCCTCCACTATCTGTCTCTTTCTACGTTCTCGCTTGGCTCGTGCCGCATGTAAACACAGAGTTGACGCCACTGTACATTTTTTTTTTGCCTCTTCAAAATCGAGTGACATAGCCCTTATCTATGCTTCAACAGTTTGTATTCATGTATATTATTTCCTGTAAAGTATTCTTTTTATTCACGGCCACCAGCAGCATAAAAATGTGTAAATACAGTAAAATGTCGGTTAGTGCATTTCAATTGGAATTGAATACAAACTCGAATCATGTACAGAACACGTTTCCCGAGTGAGTTCGGCTCGCGTTTGAGTGGTGACAGCCAAGAATTGAAGCAGAGTACAGGAAAAAAGCAAGTTTAAATACCCGTGTATGTGTGAGACAATACTAACGCAATCAAAATTTTTGAATTTTTTAAATGAAAATGTTACTAAC